AAGTATATACAAATGATTTCTTTAAAAAAAATGTATAATACAAATAACTTCAAGATTATTTATTTAGAATATATTTAATAAAATTGAATGTAATAGATATTTTAATTAACACTAATTCAAAAGTTATATATATACATCATTAATCCCTTAATCCCTAAATCCGAACCTTAATCTAAATCTAAACAGTCTTTTTTAACATTAATCAACTGATCATATAAACCTTTTTTAATTTAAATTAACTATTTTTATTAATTAAATTTTTTTTTTTGAAATTTATATAATGCAACAGATTATCACTAAAATTCTTCTAAAATTAATCTAGGAGCAATATTCATACTTTGTAATTCTTGAAAAAGCAATTTAGCAGCATAAGGCATTTGCATAGTAACCATAAATTTACTTGATTTGCAATTTTGGCACCAACCTTTGTAACCCAATAACCCACATTGTTCACAAACATGTACATCAAATTGATCCGATGATATCATTAATCTTTCCATTAACAACATGCTTGCCCCATATCCAACTAAACAATCTCGTTCCATTTCTCCAAGACGTAATCCTCCATCCCTTGATCGACCCTCTGTTGGTTGCCTTGTTAATACTGCTCTTGGTCCTCTCGCTCTTGCATGCATTTTATCCACTACCATATGTTTTAATTTTTGATAATATACCGGTCCAAAAAATATATACGCTGATAATGGTTCTCCAGTAATCCCTATATATATATACATACAGTAAGGAAATGAATGAGTACCCATAAATTCCAAAGATATCAAAATTAAAAAGGTCAAACCACCTACCGGAGGTCACATAATCTTTTCCCGAATAACTATAACCATTTTCGATTAAAATTTTGCTCATATCCTCGACTTTACTACCACCAAATGCAGTTCCATATTGTAATTCACCTTTTAATACGCCAGCTTTACCAGCTAATAATTCAATCATTTTACCTACAGTCATACGCGAAGGAAACCCATGCGGATTCATAATAATATCAGGACATATACCAGAATCAGCAAACGGCATATCCTCTTGGGGTACAATGATTCCGCATACACCTTTTTGTCCATGACGTGAAGAAAATTTGTCCCCCAATTCTGGTACTCGTGTTTGTCTTATTAAAATTTTAATAAGTGTTTGCTCTTGTTCTGTTGTAGTTACACATACTTTATCGATATATCCAGGTTCTGGTGCTTTATATGTTAAAGGGGAATGTTTCCAAGTGAATTGTATAACTGGTGCGTTCATTATTGGCATATTGACTGGTATATTTGCCGATAAATTTGTTGGTGTGTGTCTATTCACAATAACTTGTCCTGGCATCACTCTTTCACCGACTCCCGCTATACCATCGGAATCCAATATATTAAATCTTTCAGCCGAAGGCCCCGTAGGACAATCAACCTGTGCAGGAGGATCTACGATACGGTCAAAAGATCCATTTGCGTACCTTTTCATTAAAGCAACGTGTTTTCTCATGACTTGACAACGTCCAAATCCACGATCAACCGATGCTTTATTTAGTACAAGGGCATCTTCAATATCATAACCAGAATAACTCATCACTGCGACTATAGCATTTTGTCCTGCCGGTAATTTATCATATCCTACCAATTCTATAGTTTTAGTTTTAACCATGGGTTGTTGTGGGTAAACCATAAGATATAGCAAAGTATCGATCCTTCTTAATTGATTATAAGCTATGGCGCCAATGGCTTGTTTACCCATAGCACATTGATAAGTATTTCTAGGACTTTGGTTATGATGCGGATAAGGAATTAATCCTGCTACAGCACCTAAAATTGTAAAAGGTTCAATTTCCAGATGCGTGGTCTCGTCAAATATCTCACGTTCATAGATGGCGATATTTGAATCATTTTCTTCATTCACGTCTAAATATTCAACAAGACCTTGTGCTAAAAAATCCGCAAAAGTCATTTCGTCTATTTTTAATTTCTATATATATAAAAAGCTTGGTAAAAATGTTAAATGTATACATTTTAAATGTAATCAATGAGAAAATAAATTTACCTGAATATGTTTCGTGTTAACTTTAGGTACCATATTTTCTACAATGATTAAAGGACGACATACTCGCCCACCGTCTGAAGCAATATGAACGGCATTGTGATGATGATTCACATAAATGCTAACAAACTCTGAAATTCTACCACATCGACGCAATCTTCTAAAATCTTGAACGAAGCTATTCGGTTGACACGTAATTCCAAGCATAAGACCATTCAAGAAGACCATATATGCATTATTTCGATATAACTCGGCACCCGTCAAACTATTGACATCTGAAATAATTATCCAAAGCAATGAATATTTCATGTTCTAATGGATAATCTTAAAAAGGTATGTTTGATATATACCTTCAATACCAAGATTAAAAGCTAGTCGCCTTAATGGTTGTTCTTCGTCATCGGTTGTTATGTGAGTCATCAAAGCAAGGTTTTTAACTAAACCGCAGGCTTCCCCTTCAGGGGTATCTGCGGGACATAACATGCCCCATTGTGACGGCTATATCCCAAATACAAATTGATCGTTATTTCTGATATAAAAAAAAATTTTTTAAAAAGGACAGACTTCTATTTATTCTCCGTTATTAAATTCCCCTTTCAAAAATAGAAAATCTCACCTGAAGTGCTCTGGGTCCACTAACTTTCCTTGTTTTTTCATATTGTGAAGTTATTCTAGTCATTGTTCCCAATGCCGATATATAACTCAATCTACTAAGCACGTGTGTTATTCCGGCTCTTTCCATCTTAAAACGTTTTAATGTCCAATTCCCTGTAGCGATAGCTCTCACAAATCCATTTGTAATACTATCACCGTGTTGCATCAGTTGTTTATGGGCATCAAATTCCGTAGCTCTGTTTGGCTTTTTCAATAGTTTATCAATGTTCATCTTTAAATCAAAATTGAATTTTTTGAATAAATCCTCAAATAATAAAGATAACAGAGATCCAGCTCTAAATCATAACAATGATAACGTATTACAATTTGAAATTGATCCAAATAAAACTTCTAAAAATCACTTACAATTCTAATCTTTTGTTCCCAACATAATCTCGATCGTCGACCAAATTTTCATTAGCTAAAGCCATTAAAACTCGCCGAATCATGATGGCTATATAAATACATTTCGCTTGAAAATTTAAATCTTTAACGGGCACATGAGCGAGCACTACAGTCGATAGCACCTCCAACGCTTCTTCTGCCATAGGTCTTCTAACATTTGCTATTTTTCTTGTTACTTTAACTTTGCTTCCTATATAATCTAACGCTTGTTTCTGAGTAAATATTTTCATTTTTGCACATTGTTCTATATTCGGCGAAAACATATTTAAAAATATTTGATTTCCTCCCGAAATAAGCTGCGATATTTCTTTATCTGATTGAATTCCCATCGCCTGAAACAATAAACATATATATGTGAGATCAAGAGATTTAAGAGTTTAAAAATAATGTAAAACACGTAAATATCCTTCACCTTCATCACAATTACAATAGGGATCTCTTCCGATATAGAATTATGTTTTAAAGTTATTTTATCATTCTTTGCATCATTCTTTGCTACTATATACGTCTTACTCTTTCTTTCGTGGGTCGAACTATGAAACACCATTTTAAAAATTGGTGACGAACACGAGTAAGATTTTAGAACATCATACATAAATCAAGTTTCAAGTACCTTGTAACGTAAGCCTGCACAAGACCCTTTTTATCACCTTCAACAATGATACGATTTTTCGAAAGTTGTTCTTGTATTAGGATAACTTTCTCTGTACCCTTTATAATGAAATAACCACCTATTAAATAATTTAAAATGAAATTCAATGTATTGAAAAACTTTCAAAAATTTCCTAATAATTTAACAAACCAGGATCTAATGGACATTCAAACATCTTTGCCAGTTCAACTTCCGTTTTTCCAGATAATGCACACTTGGAACTCCTAAGCATAATTGGCATTTTACCGATGATAGTATTCTTACGTACAACTCTTTTCTTTCCACGAACATATTCTATATCAACATAAATATTACCAGAATACGTTAAATCTCTTAACCTACATTCATGTGGTGTAAATACATTAATATGTGCTTCATGATCCGTGTCGGGCCTATCTGGTGGTCCGACCCTAATATCAAGGTATCTGTGTCATAAAATTAAGGTTCAACGTTAATTCAACATTAAATGTTAAGTTGAAGAAATCAAATTCAAAGATATACTTTAACCAAAATGATGGGTCTACATCTGAGGTAATCATTTCATTGGTTCGGACAATCTTTCTTAATTCAGTTTCAACAAAGTAATTATAAGAATCAATGTGTTGTTTAACTAATCCTTTAACTTTAAGGAAAGCAGGTAAAAGCTGCCATTTATCCTAATTACAAGTAATTATAATGTAATGAAATTTAATTTAGAATAATTACGATACATTAAGTTTAATAATGTAAAATAAAATGCTTACTTCTACTTCTTTGACAGGATCAGTTAATTTTTTATTAGCATAATAGGGCTTCTTTAATTTTTCAAAAGCTTCTTCAGAAGTGTCAGATCTTACATCGTCAGCAAAGGTAACAGTTTTTTTACCCAGCATCGTTAAATGTATTTTGTTAATACAAGAATTTATTATTATTATTATTTTTTTTTGATAATCTCCTATTTATTAAATTAGTGATTTACCCAAATCGGTCAATTTACGCACGGACCGGCACGACCCGCAGTAGCCCTATCATTATTTTTAATAGACATTTTTATTACCGAAAAATCTTGTAAAAATCCATTAAAAAAATTAATTATCTAAAAAGTAAAAAAAAAAACCATAACAAAATTTTTGTTATATAATACATTTTTGGAATATTAAGTAAATTATTTCTCCTTAATTTAAGTCGTCTAATATAAATAAACTATTTCCTCAAGATTTCATTAAACTCTCCAATTCAACACCATATTTTTTTTTTTCTAAAATATTAGAAATCATCACAATAACATATCAAAAGGATCTTGTTTTTGTTGAGAATTAAGTTGATTGTTTTGTTGAACAGATTGTTGTGCTGGTTGTGCGGCCCAAGTTCCTCTAGCTACCCAAGTTGTAGAATCAGCTTGTGCAAGAGAATTCATTGAAGGTTTAACATTTTGTTTTGTACTAGATGTAGGTACTTTCCCTAATGAATCCAAAGATACAAGATTGGAAGCTTGCGCCCAAATATCATTAGATTTTAAGTTGGGGAAGGCAATGTTTTGGTTGTTGATATTCTGTTGTAATTTTAAATTTATCAAATATTAGAAATTTTTGTATTATATAAAAAATAAATTTAATAATATACAACTAACCTGATTTGGTGTGGTTGGTGAAATAGGTTTTGTTGCGTTAATAACACCAATAGGCTGTGAAGTATTTAAAGGTGTAGAGGAAGGCTTTGGTGTGTTTATCGATAAATTTGTAGATTGCGTTGTAGATACAGGACCAAGTAAATCATCAAGCAAACTATTGTTTATTCCGGCATTGGTATTAATTGGTGATTGTACATTTGAAATGGGTTGAATTGGTGTTACATTTGTATTTGGTGGAATAAGTGAAACTGAATTAAATTGGAGACCAGGTTGTAAAGAAATCGACGATCTTTGAGAGGATGGCATAAGCGGTGGTGCACTTTGAAAATCTTGGAAATCATCATCTGGAAGAAGGAAAGGTATATATAAATAACGGCATTTGAAAAAACAAACAAAATATAATTTAATTTCGTACCAAAATCATTAGAAACAATTTGGTTGGAGGTGGTTGAAGTAACGGGAGGATCATCAAAGTCGAATAGATTCACTTCTTTTTGTGTTGAAGTTGAACCATTACTATGTGAGGTGGATGATTCAGTAGTCTTTTTAAGCGAAGATATGCTTGATCGATTATTAGTCCCAAGACTCGATCTTCTATCATCAGATGGAGAAGTCCTTCCAGTTCTATAATCACTTTGCCATTGTGTATCTATGTCGTCATATCTGGAACGGGACTCAGCTAAAATAAAACGGATGTTTTAGTTTCTTTTTTTCAATATTGTTTTGGAGGTGGAAAAAAAATTGGTTCTAGAATAAAATGATACTCACAATAACCATATGAATCATTTCCGAATCCTCCATATTGGGATGATCCAGATGATCCGCTGAAACCTCCATAACCAATTGTATCCGAACTAACACCGGTGAATTTAGTCCTATTAGCTTTTGCTTTCTTTCGTTCTTGCCTAATTTTTTCAATATCACCTAAAAGTTCAGAAAGTTCTCTTGCCCGATTACGAACTATACATAAAAATAATATGTTAAAAGAATCTTTCTAAAAAACATCAAATAATAATAATAAAAAAGTTTCTAACCGTTTATTCCATGATCTTTTCCCTTTTCGTCAACAAAACAGAAATTCCTCATCATTTTAATAGTTGCCAGATGTGCTCGAGCATCATCAACGACCCTTTCAGATCCATGTTTCACAAGATATTCAAGCAATTGAAGAGCCTATCAATAAAACAATTTTATTATTACAAATGACCCGAAAACAACATCAATGCTTAATGACAATTACCTTATAGATTTGTTTCCATTGCCTTGCTTCCTTTTCCGTAAACCGCTTATAAATTGTTGGCATGATCTCATTAAAATATGTACTTCAATTAACATTAACAGAATTTAGAATTAATTTTTTTTCGTTTAATACAAATAAAATACAAAGTTCGAAGCATCGTCACTTACTAGTTATAGGTACCTTGAGCAATTTCCTGCATCAAAGTACTGCTAGCACCCCAAGGTTCGTTATTAGTAGCCTCACGAACCTTTGCTTCCATTTCAGTATAGTTCATCACGACATTCTTACTAAGAATTATGAATTCCTATTAGCGAGACCCAAATCTAAAAGAATAACATATTCCAATACAATTTAAACATACACTTTATTAAACACATCTTTAACGTCCCAAAGGGTTATATTGTTGAGTTGTTCCATAACTTTTCAAGTTTTGTGAATTCACTATACTAATTTTTTCGCTTTTTTTTTAAAATTTTATAATTTTTTTTTACACAATAGAAAACCAATTTTTTTTGACGGTTTTCTTATTTTCTTACTTTATTGTGTGGTGGCTGTGTCACTTTCATTGTAAATTTTTTATTATAAATATAGACGAGGCTCATCCATCATAATAGGAAAGTGATCAAATTGATTCAAACCAGATATATCTTGACTAGATTGTTTAGGTTAACCGCAAGAATAAATATGCAATTTGTTGACGAATAAACGCCACGAAAAAATCATTAAAAAAAAATATAGTTCTTTGCTGCGCCTGTCATTTTTTCTCCAGAATTGGTTTTTTAATATGCATTTAAGTTCCACTAATAAACACTGAAAAAAATTACTAGTTTTGGCAAATCAATTTTTTTTTTTTTTTAGATATGCTGTCCCTCAATAATATTTAATGTAAATTTTTGATATATGTCAATACATCTTTAAAGTTTATAATCTGTCATGTGAATAATTCGAATTGAAAACTTATAAAGAAAAGAACTTCGGTCGTAATCATATAGATAAAACATGCTCACAGATGCAATACGAGTAACCAAATGTGCTTCAACTTACAAATATTCTTCACGAAATCTCGATTTCTCGATTGGCTTATCCGTTGTCTTTCGATATTTACCTGTCAATGTTGAATTTTTTCTCATCCCCAAGGATGATTCAGAAATTGTTTAATAATCATCGCCATATGTTACCAAAAAGGTGTAACCAGCTACGGGCAAATATGCCAGGAAAGGTTGCACAAAAACGCACAAGATCGTCCGCGTTAAAACATCATTCTGATATAATCTCTCATTTGATGCGGCTTTTGAATTGGCATCGGGATAATTTTATTCTGTACAACAAAGTGACCTCCGAATGTTTTAAGAGACACTTTGTTGATTTGATCTACAAAATCATTTCTTAACTTTCTCTAAAGTCGTTAAGGAGATTATAACGATCCGATTCAATGATCTGAAGGATCTTAAAAATCGATTTTTCGACCGAATCTTAAGACCTTTGTTTAATAATTTAGTGGTGACATTTCTTCTGAAAAATATTCGACGTTACACATGACGATGATTTTCTCATATTATATACATCGAAATTTCTTTTTATTATATAATAACTAATTTTTCATATTAATATTTTATTTATTTTATAGTAAATAAATAAAATTATGAAATTGTTGTATGCAGAATTTTTAAATCCAATAAAATGTAAATTTATCCCCCTGACCTTTTTTTTTTTTAAAAAAAAATTAATTAGAATACTATTAATATTAAATCACTTTTAAAATCATTCTTTTAGTAATAACTACTTCTTCAATTATAGATAAATTTTGCTACCAAGTAAAGTTAACCAAGAGGACCTTTATATTAATTAAATAGGTTTTTTTAAAAAATCATATTCCAATTGGATAACTTCAAAATCAAGAATTATAATCATCTTTTTATAATTTATTGCAAGAATTTATTTGGAAAAATTCTTATATCGATAGCTCCAACTCTGAAAAGTTTTATATAAAACGTTTATCACCAATCATTGGAGAAACTGCCCTTGTTAGCTTTTTGTTCGATGGTTGTATAATTATTGGTGCATAATATCGGATAGGTTGAGCATGATGAACCAATTCTACTCTTAAACGACGAATTTCTTCCGCCTGACGAGACTTTATTATTAAATGTATATATATAAATATTAAAGGAGGTGATCGATAAATTATAAAGGGTTAAAAAAATTCCTTTACCTCTTCCTCTCGAAGTTTTTGTTCCTTTTGTTCCTCAGCTTCCTTGTCTCTCATCCTTCTTTGTTCATCAAAAAGATGACGTTCTTCCATACGGATATCAGTTTGAAAGAAAAAGCCTATTGCCTCTGTTGGTGGAGGACATTCAGGTTTTTTAATAATTTCAGGTTCCATGCTAGGAAGAGGTAGAGCACGAAATTGTAATTCCTTTTCGCGTTCACGTTCTTCTCCTCTCAATTTTTCAGAAAATTCCATTTGATATTTTTCTCCACGACAATCGGTTAACAATGTAAATGGTTTTGGATAAGTTGGTGTATAATGGTGACGTGGGGGCAGACACTACGTACATCGAAACCAAAAATTTAAGAATAATTGATAGAGATATAATGATACATCATCATATGTAATGTTACATACATCCGGGGAATCAGTAGGAAGTGGTCGAGCTCTAAATTCACGCATCCTTTCAAATTCCTCTCTTTCTAGTCGAATTCTTTCTTCTATTTCTTGTGATTTCCTTTTTGAAATTTCTTCACCGGGTAACCTGAATTCGGACACATCTATAAATCGGTGTTCAAACATCGGTCTAAATGGATCTTTATGGTCAGGTACGGGATTAGCTTTAATGATATGCGGTGGGGATGGACTCTTTTGTCTTGGTGGTTTAGGTTTTGTAATAAATGGCGAATGTGGTTCAGTTAACTTGAATTTCTGAACTTTGGGAATTCTTAAATCTTCTCTTTCAAAGATCTTTTTTTTTATAAGAAAAAAAAAACATATTTTCAGAGTTAAACGAATTACAATTCAATAAGTCATTGAGAGTTAAATCTTATAAAACCTTTCGATCAACCGGATTCGCTTTAAATCTATAATTTTGTATATCTCTTACTACACGTTCTTCTGTAGGTAATGTTCTATGTAATATCAAATAAATTAAAATGATGAGAATCCTAGAAGCTGAAATTTAACATTATGATGTAACTTACGTAGTAGTTTTAGTTCTATATTTAGTACGCAAGAATGGTGACCTTGGCACAGTTAAAGTGTTTGAACGCATATCATAAGGCTTAAAAACATAATATAAATGAATATAGATATATTTATAATTTCAATGAAAATTATCAACATAGTAAAATCTCATACTATAGCATACCTTTGAAACCGCTTTACCATCATCATTTTTGGGTGTATTTTCCATGAATTGTTGTACCTTGACGGCTAAAGGAATAAATTGAGTTCTTTGAGGGCTATCTTCATTACGAGAGATATTTACTCGCGATGCAGTATGAAATTTGAAAGGCTTTGGTACTGTCGGGACAAACGTGTTATTATTTTTACGTTTCTGAAAAATAAAGATAAAAACGCGTTAAATTTCGAAATATATTATTATGAAGGGAATGGTTATTTATCTCTCGATAATAGTTACTTGTACACCAGCAGTCTTTCTAGCCAAATAATTCTTGGTTCGTGACGGAGTCAGCAAACTAGCATCATTTTCGTCACACGTAATCATTGAAGTCTGAACAATGTCTTCCATATAGTTTGTATTTTCGGACACCTCAATTATATCTCTATTAAAGTTGGTCGAATTCATTATTTTTTGTTCGAATTTCAGTTTTAAATATTTCGCAAACAAATGGGGGTCAAATCCAAATCTTAAATTTTAAGGAATATATATATTATTTGCCACGCGTATGACGTATTACATAAGACTAGAACTTCATAGACCCCTATTATCAAGTTATTTTAGGAATTAGACATCTGATTGGTCAATAATATTTTTAAATATAGCTCGTGCAATGATTGATGTAATGGATAAATGAATCGTCTGACAGGTTTGTGCGACAATCGATTTCTTATATTTACCCCCACTCGAAATTGTGGTACATTTTAAAGCTATCATTGGAAAGGATAATAATATTAGCGATTCAAGGAGGGGAATTCTACAAACATTGACACAGGAAACCAGATTATTGAAAATAAATGACGTCCAAAAAGATGCTTTGGAACAAAGAAGCTTAGTTCGTTCTTATATTATTGATTTAGTTTCTAAATTAAAACTTATATAGAATTACCATAAAAAGAATTCATTTACTAGTTCATCTACCATAAATGAGGAATTGGGAGAAAAATGGATTCTTCTCATCAAATAGTGGACAAATATTAATAATTTAAATTTCTGTACACAAATAGATGAATCATGATCAAAATGTTCAAAACCTAATAAAGAAGGACGTTTCCCAAAATGATGATCAATAGTCAGTAAGTAGTCTTTGATCCGAATAGTTTTCAAAGATTAAAGAGAAAAATGAATTCGAATCATTGTATTTTAGTGTATTAATAGAAAGAAAAGCAAAGTGATTTTTGTTTTAATCTGATAGGTAAAATCAATTATTATTTTTTTTTTAAAAAAAAAACAATTAAATCTTTAACTATAATTACTGTAATGTAATTTTGATTGAATAACTAGGATGGAATTTTTAATGTAATAATTAGAAGCCAATTTCTTATCTTGGGTTTTAAATAAAACGGCGAATATTTTAAAGTTCTCATTTATTTATTTTTTTTATATGATGAAAGAATGTTAATGTCTCACGAAAACAAATCAAGGGGATAGACAAAAAAGGTTAAATATGAACATTTATCAAAACATTAATTCAGCTGACATTTAATTAAATTTGTTTATTTATTACGTTAAAGAAGGAAATAAAGAAATACATGTTTATATTCTTATCAAAATTACAAAGATAATATAACTTAAAAATATCAAAAGTATTAGCACTAGCAAGTGAACCATGACGCGGCCAGTTCCACCAAGAATATCGTCATCAACCAATAAAGGTAGAGCGCCCTGCAATAGTTGCACCAGTTGTTCCTACTAAACCAAATATAGGTTCAATCCCAACTAATCTCATTTTTCCTGGTCGGCGACGTCTCTTTGAACGCGAAATTCAGAATTTGGAATATTATCACGTTTAATCATTAGGAGTGGAGCATTGTTGACGGCATAAGGAATAACGTTCGTTTGGTAACGACTAAACTATTCGCTTGATCATAGTCAAAATTGGAAGCCTGTTCATTTGCATTTGTTTTGTGGCCGAAACTTCATATTGATTTAAATTTGCTTGCTTCATGTTCTGCATTTAACGATTGTTGGTTGGTGTATAAAAGGATTGGTGTAGTAGCAATTGTCGTTCATTTATCATAA